TTCCTCTTCCATGTGGAGGGATCTCGCTTTCTTTTTCTACTCCTCGACTCTCTTTCCAGACAAGGTGTTTGAGGTTCATCTGTATCTGAATTAACTTCTGAATTTGGAGTGAAATCAGGATCTTGATCACTATCATCAAATTCATCTTCAGAATCTACGTAATACAAAAATCAAATCTGTTTCAATCGCCTATTATAAAGATGGTCAAACTAAGTAAATCAGTGATAACGCAAATTAGTCCAAATTAGTTGTGTATTATGGTATGCCAGAAAATAAAAAAAAAATTTCTAAATGCCAAATTTAACATGGTGGTCATTTATAATTGCAATGCAACAATGACATAAATCAAGGCCTCAACTTAATGTAATTTATATCACTGGCTATCGGATGGTCATGGTAAAGTCAAAGAAAACTAAAATTATTAGGCAGAGCACCATGCACTACAAAATTGAAAATACTAACCTAAGACTGCTTTAACAACTTCTTTAACAGACAAGTTTGCACATCGTTTAGGTCTTCTTGATGCCATTTTGTCTGTCATGCCATGTATGACATCATATAAATTACCATGACAACATGCATATGATGTCATATTCTATATGACATCATAGTGTTATGACTTTGTCATGTCACTATTCTATAGATTAATGATATCACTTACAATGTTTTTGCTCTCAACATGTCAGTTACTATGATTTTGCTCCAAACAAATCAGATACGATGTTTATGCTCTAAGCATTTAAAGAAAAATGCAGATACAATGAATTCCATAGTTATAAATTTTGGTGTTTTACTAAAAAAACACTCTTTTGTAATAATAGGGTGATAAGAAATATTATTTCAACCTTAAAAATTGACTACACCCCAAATATTGAATTTTGTCACTTACGAGGTTTTTGCTCTAACCCAGCGACATGGCCCTGTGTTGAACATCTGAGAGAAGTCTATATTTAGAATCATAACGGTACATCAAGGGATTCCCCAGCATGAAGTGGACTTTCTGCACCTGAGATTGATATTATAATACGTTGTTTACAAACATCAATATAGCACATTGACTTGAGTAATTATCTAAATAAATCATGCCGTGTGTACGTGAGATAAGGCATTGACAAGAAGACCGTGGGTCGTTTTATAACGATTCAATCAGCTGTCAGGCCATTGTGACTAGCCAATGAAATAAGGAGTTTAAGCTATCGCACGAGATAGGAATACCCTTTCAACAACAATGGCTGCTGTGGAGTGACTAAAGTTTGTTTTGTCTTGTGTAATTTCTAATTCACTCTGAAAGTTAAAAGCTGCTAAACACCTCTTTCCGTACTTCGGGGAGAGAAACTTTTTGTGTTAAAGCTTCAAAATGGAGAATTTAACAACAGATGCTGTGTTATCCACAGCTTACTTGGAATATTTACCAGAAAATCCACTTTATGAACCATTCAAACAAAGTTGGATTTTAATGAACCAAAAATATACTAAATTTCAAATTGCAACATGGGGATCTTTGATTGTCCATGAAGTAAGTACTTGCAAATATTATGTACCGGTATTTAATTCTAAAGTTTTTAAAATCAAACTTGACTTTTGAATTTAACCTTAGTCTGCATCAAAAACCCACAACAGCTGCGCATGATTGTAAAATCTGATTTATTTTAAAATATATTTCTGATAAATTAGACATTAATTTCTACTTTATCCTTTTTTTTCTCTTTTCAGTTTGTATATTTCGCTGCCTGTCTACCAGCTTTTATCTTTCAGTTTCTACCTTTCATGAGGAGATTTAAAATACAGTCGGTATGTTGACAACCTATTTTTAACATTTATCAGAAAATATACCCTTTTTCATAGGTTTCTATCCTGTAATTTATAATTCATATTATCTGATCAGGTCAACTCTTGCAAATTGGATGAAATGAGTAAGTAAATACATGAACTTAATGCTATCTTTAGTTTCTTAATCAAAACCAATCATTGGCACTGTTTTGATGTATGATTATTTGTTAAGTATTTCGTTGTTTTTTATAGGATAAACCAGAAACTGCCGAAAAACAGTGGAAATGTTTGAAGCTGATTTTATTTAACCATTTCTTTATTCAGGTAGGCTACTATTTTGTTGAATACTTCATAATACATATATGTTAACTACTGGGTACATGTTATTACCTGGTTAGACCAGATAGATGTTAATGAATAAATGCATGCATTAATGTAGATCTTAAAAGAGCACACAATGCAGAACAATAGTCGTCATATACATATAGACAGTTCTTGGGCATGGATTTACAAAGTTTGATGCAGTATCACTCACTTCCAAAATAATGCTAGTTATAGTACAGGTTCCAATTTCTGAATGAGGGCCTGTACTCTTTATATTATTATAAGTAAAACTACTTATTCGATATATTTCAGTTACCTCTTATTGCTGGCACATATTTATTCACAGAAATGTTCGGAATACCTTACGGGTGGGATGAAATGCCTACATGGTGAGTACAATAAAATATGTTGTTACTAAGGCTGTATGCAATAATGTAGATAAAAAGCTGATACAACAGCTATAGTTAGATGTTAAAATGGCAGCTTACCTGTAACTTAAAGCACTTATAGATATAAATAGTTGCAACTAGTATTAGACATCTTGTTTTTGATATTAGTGAATAAATATTGATATTGTATGATGTTATTAAATGGTATATTTCAGGTATAATTTAGCTTTACGTGTGTTTGGTTGTGCAGTAATTGAAGATACATGGCACTATTTCTTGCACTTTGCTTTACATGATAGACGTATTTATAAACACATACATAAAATACATCATCATTTCCAGGTAATGTAAAATCTCATTATAGTTGTTCTAAAAATTCAATCGTAAAACTCTAAAAATCCTGTGGCAGAAATGTTGGTAAAGATTTGAGAAATAAGAGACTAAGAATCTATTAAAGAATTCATCTTCATATTGTGGTGTTTGTGGATTATCTTTTACATGCTAGAAAACTAGAAGATAGTGATAAGCTTGGTATAGGTTATGGTATTTCTATGATTTGTGATAAGAGATTTTAATTTCAAGATACAGTAATATTATTTTACATTATTTGTAGGCACCATTTGGTTTAACAGCAGAATATGCTCATCCTTTAGAAACTCTCAGTAAGCATTTCTTTTGATCTTAAATTATTTGTTAACCTTATTGCTCATGGTAGCAAATATATAATTTCCATATAAATCATATAGTGGTTGCATTAGTCTTTTCATAATATGACATTTGCAAACGGAAAATGTTGATGATATTTAGTAATGCAACCAACTTTGGATTAGTTTGCATATCTAGTCCAATATAATTGAATTGTTCATTCAAATTATCACACATGATAAACTAACATTGTTCACAAGATGCCTTCTTCACAAGATTTGACCATTGAAATTATAACCTGTGTTAATTTTTAGTCAAATGGACATTTTCCTGCAGCATTCTGAATATCTGTGTCAATCATATTCAACCTATGAAAACTATTTATTCTCAATTATTTGTAGTTCTTGGTTTTGGATTTTTCCTTGGTATTTTGATGTTTGCTAACCATGTGGTATTGTTATGGGCCTGGGTGACTATTCGACTATTTGAAACTATTGATGTACACAGTGGTTATGATGTACCCTATTTAAACATATTCCATCTTATACCTTTCTATGCTGGTAAGTAATGGACACCCATTTAAAGACCTTTTGTTAATAATGGTTTTTCTGGAACATAATACAAAATGGGTTATTTGTGTGCATAATACAGAGCTTAAACAAAAAGACTAACAATGCAAAGCAGAATTAATCACATGGTTAAGGTGATGCTTATTCTGTGAATGACTCATCTGTTTTCTATAAATGATACTATATGATTTTCTTATAGGTTCAAGATTTCATGATTTTCATCACAAAAACTTCACTGGAAACTACTCTTCTACGTTTTTATGGTGGGATGTGATTTTTGGAACAGATTCACAATATAAAGATTACAAGGCTAAATTAGCTAAAGAAAAGAAGAAATTGAAATAAACAAGAGATATTTTAAACAAATTCAAATTGTGATAACTTCAATACCGGTAGCCTAAAGACAAGTTATTGTTGAATTCAAACAACTACCAGATTACCAGCCAAAACTTTTAACTACCTTTTCTATTGTTATGTATAAATGTTGATTGTTGTTTTAAGTATGTGATTGTTAAAGTATTCTTTATTCTTATTCTATTCAATTTACTCTTGTAATATTTGCTATCCATATTTTCACTGAATTTCAAACTTAATCCGAGTAATGCCATTTCTCATTCAAATTTAAAAGCTATCTCTCAGATTAAATTATATGAATCAAATTTTCAGCTTGATTTTGGATATGTTTGGCTTTTGTCTCCAGTGTTAACTTTAATCCTCACCTCTGTTTTCCACATGTCTCAGCAGAAGGACCAAATATATAACACCAAAAGTGTTTAACATTGTATTCTGTTACTATTCGCAAAATAAAGAAATATTTTGTCAAAAATAATTTTTATTGATAAATATAACAAATGATAGATGAAACACTATTTGTGTGTTCAATGCAAATGTTGTAATTGGGCCCAGATGTGTTATTCATAAACACAGTTGGTCAGAAAGGATTATCTCAATTTGTCAACTCTGTCAACACACTGGTGTCTTTAGGTTTTAATCCTCTTATAGATAAATCATATACCACTTCTTCAACTTTCTTCAAATCATATTTCAAAGCATCAAACCGTTTTCTTAAAGCATCATTTTTAAGATTTAAAAGTCTGAATCCAGATTCTAGATTACTGAGGAATGCTGATATTAACAATGGTTTATTGTAATCACCAGCAATAACTGCATTTACTGATAAACGTGACTGAAATATAAAATATAATGTATGAGATGATCAGGTGTACTTATCCTGAAGAAAGTAGCCACTGTGCCCCATTTATGTGCTTCATGTGGTGTTGTCAGCTGAAGGCCACCAATAAAATACTGACTTCTGTGAAATTCTCCTATATCTTGAAGTATGTAACATTGGAACATACTTTTGATCCATATGTCTATCTCTCAAGCAGAAATGTGGCCTAGGTGGTGAAACTATATCTTTGACTCTGTCTGGAAAGACCAGAGTTGGACTGGCATTTTTTGTTATCATCGCTTACTTCATAAAGTGCCTATTTCAATTGACCAATTTTACTGCATTGATTTCATAATTTTCTTGTCATTTACTGACACAATTCAGAGCGGGACTTAAAAGCGCAGTACATGGACATTTCAAAACTATTCTTACCAATTCACTTGCCAATTGTAATAAACCCATTAAAAAATCTTCTAAATCAACATGAAAACCATCTTCCTTATTTACTTTAGCTAACATTAAACAAACAATAACAATATTTAAAATAACAATTTCTTGAAGACATTTACACATATAAACAACATAATTTATTTTGGAAGACAATAAAATTTTTGGGACATGCAAGACAACTAAAATCTTACAGATAACAAAAGTTGAATCAATAACGTTTAATTTTTGTTTCAAAATTATTTTCAGTTATACCCCCTTTTTGAACAGTAATTCAACTTATTATCCCTATTTTTAGGCATTCAAAAGAAGGATGTCTCTACATATAACGATGTCGCAAAAAAAATGTCCCAAAGTTCGATAGGAAGATTCTCAGCTGTTGGTGAACTGATCTCTTTCAAAATTCTCACAGATATACTTCAAGATGTCGTTGCCCAACCCTGAAAATATGAAAGTCATCAAATAAAAATTGTACAAGTACTGCCCGTCAAAAAATGTAATATCAAGGCAACTTACCTATTTCAACTTGTGGTCAATGTTGAAAGAGATCAGTTAACCAACAGCTGAGATACTACCGAATTTTGGGAGTTATTCTTTGGGACACCTGATATAAAAACTTACCTCCAATTAACTCAGCTGCTACAGATCTGTCTATTAAATTTTCTGATTCTAGAAACACAATTAGTGCTGCTAAAAACATTAATTTCTGGAAAACAAACTTCCAATGATCATGATACCTACAAAGAAAATCAAACAATACATTATACATGAGTATCATATACATTCTTATTTAGCAAAAGTGCAGAGATTTGAATTTTTCACAAATGTGCTGAGGGATTAGACCTTAATTGAAAGAGAAACTCTGAAAATGGGCCAGGGATCAAAGGATCCCAAATGTGAGAAGTATCGGGACCATCAACATGTGAAGGGATAAAAGCTAATATATTGAGCATGTTTTGGAACAGTAAAAGATATTAATCAATATTTTGAGATACATACTTGTAATACTGATTGACAGGTATTTTATCAGAAAGATTTTTTGTCTGGTCTTTTACAGCCTCAAACAATTTACGGGCACTTTCACAAAGTTCAGGCACTGAAAAAAATTATATCATAAATTTACATGTTTCTTTCAACTACTTTTCATGCTGGATTGAAATCTTATGACTGATGGGACATAACTTTAACTGGAAAGTAAAGTGGTCTGAGCATGCTGTAAATTGGTGATCCTTTTTGTCAACTTTAGTGGTACACATTAAAATCTGAAGCAAATTGTTACAAGGAAATGCAATGTACTTCAGTTCCCCAGAATATTGTGGATATTTCCAAAAGAGTTTCTATTTGAAATACTTTATTACAAGTAAAACAATAACCATAATTCCTTTCCATTTTAAAATGCTAGAATCTACTCTATACTGCTGAAGGGTTATTTCTCTTGTAGCTAAATACAAATACCTTTTTTTAAACCTTGAGGTTGGTGAATAGCTTGAAGTACTTTTTGAATTTCTCTAGTGGTTTGTTCCATATCCTTAACAACAAAACGAATATCCTGAAATATAAATTTGTTAGAAATGGTTAATAAAGATATAAGTGTGGTCATTTTACCACATAATTAAGCCAAAATCTCAATTTCAGCCAAACATTAAATTGCCTACTATTAAAGTTGAATTAACAGTTGTCAGTATTTTACTTGGAAGAAGTCACACATGTCGTAAATTTAATTTGATCTTGATCTGTATTTTCTAGACATATGCCCAAATTGAAAAAAGAGTTGAGATCATTCAGTTCTATATACTTTTAAAACATCAAATATTTAAAGGAACAGATGTGCCATTCTATTTGACCAAACATACTTTAGTCTGAGAAACGGGAATTAGGGAATTATGCAAGTTTTTAACATTTCTAGTACTTCGAAAGATTATTTACATATATTCCAGACTATAATCAAGACCCAAAAATGGTGCACCTGTCCCTTTAATATCTGACCAAAGTGAGCTAAGAATTGAATTCATTTCATAAATATTCATAATATACAATTTTCAGATGCATGTGTCCAAGATTGTCTTTAGGTCCAAGCAAATATGAGGTTGAATGATTTAACTTTTGAAAGTAAATTCGTTATGTTAGGTTAGAGTTGGGTTGGAATTACGATACGATTTGGTCTTATTCGTTTATTTTATTTCTTTCAACCACGGCGCTTACTTCTCTCAGTTGTTGTTCCGCCGCAAGAAATTCATGTAATTCAGTAAACGTTTCTGTTATCGTTTCAGTCATTTCGGTACAAATAAATTAGTAAAATATAGATATATTATTGGTTCTGCATTGAAAATTTCTTTCTTTTTATTGTTTACAATTTTGATGTAAAGCCACGTTTTTACAAGAGCCACGCTTTCGTATCCGATATTCATTCGGTATACCGAGTATTTTATGTATTATCTGACAGGATATCACTATCAGAGCCTAGCATTCCTTAAAGAACGAAATTAACTAGTGTATATAACAGACTAATGAAATTCTGTGTAAAATACTTATCTTTCATCATCAAACACTGGAAAGAATTTAGTTTGTCATAATTTTTTTTAAAAATAGATGTATTTCGAATGCCGATGTCATGACATTTATGTCAACAATAAAGTTTCTGCAACCAAGTGAAGACAATCGGTCGATGAAACGTGATATTGATTGTTAAATAATTGTACAGATTATGTCAAGCTTGAAGTTATATAATACAGATACTGGTCCACTGAAGCTTAGTCATGACCGTACGTATAATAATCAGATAATAGAAGATAAGATCAATAAGTAGTCTTTTAGCCACTGCCTGCTACTGTCACTGTGTCAGTGATGAGTAGGCTACTCTCTATGTCATACAACATAACTTCAACTTCCACTTGTGTGAAACTGTTGTGTTTTCTGAGTTGTATACTGTTATTCAATATTATTATAAACAAAATAATGGAGTTTTACATTAGATTTAAGATAGTCTAAAACATCTGCCTCTATTCCAGCCTCTGAGTCTGATGGATATTTTTTGACAGTAACATGTCAGCTGTAGTAGACTCAGATAAAAAAGACCTTGTTAAATGGGGATTTTCCACACACTTTTGTTGTGCACGCAGTTTTAAGTCGCCGATGGCTAGATCAGTTTCGCCCAATGAACTGAAGACATAACATAACTGGTGTAGGGAGGAAAATGATGGTATGACAGAATTACAAAGATATCCATCTTTCCAATTATATTTGGTTTTTTCAGAAAAAAACCCTGCACCTGATGCAAAATGTCCCATTTAAAAGCGCCGATTTTTTCTGTCTCTACACCAGCTGATATGACGGTCTAGGTTTTGGAATGAAAGACCAAATTCTTGATTATAGAAACCATAGACATGTATTATTAGTATTATGTTATGGAAAACAGACAGTCTATTAGAAATAAAGATAAATCTATTCAGGCCTTTTTTTCTTAGCTTATATATATATATACATGTAGGGTTGGGTATCGATTACAAAATTGATAGTTATTTTTACACAGCCGTGTATACATGTAGTATTAAGCTCATTATTTCTTATTGACTAACAATATGCGACAATAAGCTAATTAGTTTGACTTTAAACTCCAAAATAATCTTCTACATCAAGATTGATTATAACTATAAGTGACATATTTCAACTGTAGTAGATCTACATCTTAGCAAATAAATAGGCCAAGGTAGATTCAGAAAAATACAGAAAAGTGCACTATTATAGTATTATGTAGGTTGTTAAAGGGATTGCAAAGACGTTTTAAAAACTTTTTATGTGTATGTGTATTTCAATCAGACGGTTGTGGTTCCTGCAATTCCATTAAAACTAAGTGGTGTAAGATGTCACTATAGCAAATGGCCTTATATTGACAATTTTGTGATAGCGTTGTCATCAAACGCTTAGTTTTAGTGGAATTGCAGGAAGCATGGACATCTGACTGAAAATTTAAATGGTGCAAATCGATGCTATCAGTGTCCCCTCTAGATATATAAAGAGTTTAGAAAACTTCTTAACCATTCTTTAACAAAAACAATTAACATCTTTACCCTTACTTATAACATCAAAATATCATTTTTACTAATCAATGAAAGTTTGAAATCAAGTTTGCAGTTTATAGCTTTTTCTGTTGCAAAATAATTGCTGTTAACCTTTTAATCTTCTCAAAATGACAATATAAGGATGTACACTTATCTTTTATCGCTGTGATATTTTTTGTAATCATTAGATAAGGACAGTAAGAGTCTAATTGACTGAGTTTGAAAATACTTTTATAAGCTCAGAAACATTTATATTATATATAATGGAAATAAATACCATTCTTACTAATGATATTTTATAGTAGGTCTAATAGAATAACAATTTTGATTAATTTTAGTCTTACGATGATCCAATTACAAGACAATTATGGTATATACATAAATCTCCAAGACAAACATTGGCTGGTATAATTGGTATGTTATTGGTGTATATATCTATCTGTATTAATGTAGTCAAATATAAACTGAATTTTTAAGTTTTCTTTCAAAATGTAAACTGAACTTATGAAAAATCTTCCCAAATTAGAAGAACCATAATTTGTATATACAGCTGAACAAAGATAATTCATTAAAAGGCTACTATCGCACAATTAGTCTGATAAGCAATAGTTAAATTGCAATTATGCACATCTTCACAATGGTCAAAGCATTACTAGCTTCATCTTATACCTCCACTGCAATAGCCAATGTCACAGAATGCAGTGTTACCATTCGATTGTATGTCAGTGAATATAGCCAATCAGAGTCCTTTGCAGAAAGACTATAAAAATTATGACTTATTATTTACAGTTGAGGGTTCTGATTGACTGTATTCACTAGAGTAAAAACCAAACTGCAATTATAAAACTCTGTGATACAAGAAATGTGGCAATGGTAGTCAAGGTATTGTCTCAAAAAAGTACTAATATTCTTAGAATGTCTTTGTGGTTTTTTTTTCAGTTTACTTTTAAAAGAAACATATTTCTCTCCTAAAAATTTATATCAAAATAGTCACAAATTTTGTCTTAAAATTGCCCTAAATTTTGAAATTTTAAGATATAATGTGTGCTCATGTTTATATTTTTATCAACGCTTCAAAAATATTAAATTACTTTGCTCAGACAATACTTTCGTAACACCTTGACCAATCTAGAACAATGTTAAAATTTAAATTTTAGATTTCTTCTTACTACATAGTAGTGCTTGGTATCGTCAATAATGCCACGATATGATACATATCTCGCGATATAAGGGTCACAATAGGACATATATACGACATGGGGTAATGGGATAAAAATTAACATTTTATCTTCAAAGTTTCTATATATTAGTTGATAGAATATATAGTTGATAGAAGTGGTCAGGGTCCATTGTCTTATAAAAAGTTTCTAACAATTTCAGTGAAAAAAATTGTTATATCATAAAACAACTTATAAAAATTCCGACTTATTTATGGAATAAAAGGTATCATCAAGTATCGATACACGGCGTCGCGATGGGATACACATATCTGGGTATATCATATCTCGATACTACTACTTAGTATGTCTTTTAACACCAGAACACCAATTTGATTTCTGATAAACATATTTTGGTTTATTTTCTTAAAAGGATTCAAAACAAATTCCTAGGTTTTGTAAGTGCAATAAGGACACTTATAGCTTACATTTTCACAATTTCACTTTCTTGTCTGTGTTCCTGTCAGTACAGAAAAACTTGATCAGAATATTACATCAGTTATATCACAATACTGCCAATCAAGCCATATGGTTTTATAGTTACTCATTAGCAACTAATGTTTAATAACACAATCCATGGATTTCTTTCTTAATGTTTTTTGCTTTGTTGTTTTAAATGTTGTTTAATGCTGCTTCTTCTTGTAGAGTTTTTATTTATTTTTATTTTAAATTTTTAAAGTCAAAACTGTTGTGTATATGTATTTTTTTGCCTTTAAAAATATTGTTTCTTTTGAAAATACATGTATTCAAGCATATTTACCACAGCATAGTAGTAAACAGTAAAATATAACCTCCACCCCTGCCATATTTCTATTAAAACACTTGTTACTATTGACTTATTAGATTTATTAGTTATTAGAATTATTATACCTTTCTTGTGCTGACAGTTTAATTGACCCTTCTGTTTGTATTTACCTTCTAGTCACTTCATTGACTTAAAGAATTATACTTGGGCTTGGTAACCAATATAGTGTCTATGACAGTCTTTTAGCTGCTTGATATTAAAGGGCTGTTGCCATTTTCTTTTTATAACCTCAGTGGGCTAATAGTTGATTAGAACTTTGTCTAGAATTTGAAAAATCAAGCTTAGATTCACCAAAGGTTATATTGACTGATGTATTAATAAAATGTTAATTTGGACTACTTTGGTGCACATGACTACTGAAACTGAAAAGTTGATGCCAGTAGCTGTGATGATTTGAATTTTATAGGCACTTTTTAACTATAAGTAAGACTAAGCTTTGATTTTTGATATAAAAATTATTTATTAAAGATAAATTTATGTCCAAATCATATGACACAAGTAGGCTAGGGATCTTGCCCTTTAAGTTTGAATAAAGATAGCCCTACACAAACCCTGACTGATATACCTGTACAATAGAAATTAGTGAATTGATTTATGTTAGAGCTCCTATTTATATTACAGCTAGACCTCGAGATATCGAAACAGAAAAATTGATCCTGGCACGTCCAATGTATCGTAAAGATTTTCGTTATCATGGATATCCTGAAGAGAGTTTTTTCCACCCTAAAAGAAATCATAAAAGACCTTTAAGTGATGAAGAAAAAATGAAGAAGAGAATGTCGAATTCTAATTTACATGATCCACGTAAGTTGAAGTCAATTATCTTTAAACTAAAAATGTTTCAAATGTTTGGTACAAAATGGACAACTTCAATATAGGCAAGCTTATCATATTTCAATATTATACAAAATTGCAGAATTGATAAGGTTCTGGCAAAAGGGTAAAATTTGGCATTGTTTTTGGTTTGTTAGAGGATAAAATAAATCAAATCAAAATTCACCACTCAAAAAACATCAAACATCAAAATTGATGTGATATATCATAATTTTTTTTCGATTGACCAATTTAAAAGTGTGAAAAATGAACCTTGTGTGGGGGAGGGATTATTTCTCACAGAAAATATATTTTTATGAGAAAATAAGTTAAGCTTGTTTAATTAAAGTAGGTTCTACAATAGATTGATATACTAGTATATAATAAAATAGATTGTAATATACCAAGTTTATTATCTTCATGTAGTCAATAATAAAGTTTGTTTAGTGTGTCCATAACTACTGGTATCTCCCAAACCCTATCTGAATACACTCTTTAATTATCTTCAGTAATAGGGTATTTATCAACCAATTACAGTATTTTTATCAAGTAAATGTAGAGCGATATTAAAGAAAATCACATATGTTAGAAGATATGTTTACTTTATTATCTTAGCTGAAAGAACACTTGAAGGCTTTGTATATGTATGGAAATTTGAAAGTTAAGACAAAAGCCAATATACAAATATAACCTTATAACAAAGAAGATTTTTTTGACATTAGACAATATATATATGTAAATGCATTCCAGTTGAAAAATCATAATACTTCTATTTTTAGATAATTCTCCTGATAAGAGAGATGATTATCACCATGCAAGATATCATGATAAAAGACCTCATCTGTATGAGCCAGATCCTGCCCGACAATATTCTCCCCCACCCCGTCATCAATCCCCTCTCCCACCACAACAATTACCATCAAATATCAACAATAGACCATCAGAACCAGATAGAATGACAGACATTGATTTTCATGTCAAAAATGCGTTACAAATTACTGCCAAAAATAATTTCATGGAGAAAAGGTAATTTTATTTTGCCCTATTGAAATTTTTGTAAGGATTTAGAAGTGATGTTCAAAATAAATACTATTAATACAACACATTTTATTCAATTAGGTATACCTGCTTTTTTTATATTTTACAGTAATTGTAACTGTTGCACTAAATATATATATAAAAAAACTTAAATGAAAATGTTATCTATTTTAAAACTAAATGTAGTAAATTTTTTACTTTTTGAAGTCATATTTTTACTTTCACTACAAATGTTTGGTATTTACAGTCAGTATGAAATTGAGAAATTAAGACGTGAAAGAAAGGAGGCAGAAGAAGATATAGCAAGGTTTAAAGCTGAACAAGTAAGAAGATTAGAAGAGGCTCAAGCAGAAAAGAAAAAGGTGATACATTGTACTGTATTTATTTATGACAACTTAAAAAAAAATGCAACTAAATATCATAGCTAACCAATTTACTGACATTTTATAATTATCTTTTACATTCTTTTGTTTATTTACAGGAATATGAAAGAGCTACTAAGTTCTATTTTTGGGATGCTCACAATCATGGCCATGGTGCTCCAAAGGTAAAAAACCATTAATTATTCAAATCATTTCTTATGACATATGTCTTGCAAAACATATAATAATAAATAACATTCTTTTTTCTTATTTTAACTAGATGAAACTTTACATGAGTGTGCTCTGAAGTGCTTATATTATAAATACAAATATATTTTTTATAGGGTTTGGGTGATAATAGAAAACAAAAGTTTATTGAAGAGGACACTACACCTCGACATCAACAGGGTTACAGCAGCTCCCAAGTAAGATATACTTTTTATAAAGATACATGTGTATTCTTGTTCTTAAGATTCTGTTTGGATCTGTTATAAGAAATTATATGCCTATTAATTACATTGGTAATGTACCAATACAGCTGAAAACATCTGTACTAAGCTTATAAGTTGTTTTGAAATTTTATGAAAGGACTGACCAGCGGCCATGATATATAATATTCATTAGTCTTTCAATCATATTTTTATTATTAGGAATTCCATCGATCCTTATTATATTCACCACAGGTAAAATAGATAAACATATTTGAACCAGATATAGTCTTTTCAAAACAGAACACCTTGTCTTTTGTTCAAAGCACAGTATTACATAGACTTCTTTTCCTCTTCTATTAGATTTGAGTTTTATGCAGACTTTTTGTAAATTACATTTATGCTTTTACATTCTACTATTACATCACAGCTTTATATACACCATGTCTACTATTACATCACAGCTTTATATACACCATGTCTACTATTACATCACAGCTTTATATACACCATGTCTACTATTACATCACAGCATTATATACACCATGCTCTATATACACAAGTCTACTATTACATCATAGCTTTATATACACCATGTCTACTATTACATCACAGCTTTATATACACCATGTTTACTATTACATCATAGCTTTATATACACAATGTGTACTATTACATCATAGCTTTATATACACCATGTCTACTATTACATCACAGCTTTATATACACCAAGTCTACTATTACATCATAGCTTTATATACACAATGTCTACTTTTACATCATAGCTTTATATACACCATGTCTACTATTACATCACAGCATTATATACACCATGCTACTATTACATCACAGCTTTATATACACAATGTTTACTATTACATCACTGCATTATATACACAATGTCTTGTATTACATCATAGCTTTATATACACCATGTTTACTATTACACCATAGCTTTATACACACAATGTCTACTATTACATCACAGCTTTATATACACAATGTCTACTATTACATCATAGCTTTATATACACCATGTTTACTATTACATCATAGCTTTATATACACCACGCTACTATTACATCATAGCTTAATATACACAATGTCTACTATTACATCACAGCTTTATATACACCAAGTCTACTATTACATCACAGCATTATATACACCATGTTACTATTACATCACAGCTTTATATACACCATGTTTACTATTACATCATAGCATTATATACACCATGTTTACTATTACATCATAGCTTTATATACACCATGTTTACTAATACATCATAGCTTTATATACACAATGTCTACTATTACATCAAAGCTTTATATACACAATGTCTACTATTACATCACAGC